GTTCTTAATTGCCCTTTGCATCTTATGCCAGCAGAGCTCCAGGTGGGCACAGAAGGAACCCATCAAAGCAGGGCCCCAAAGGAATGTTCAAGAAATACACGTTCTGTGAAGAACCAGCCAGGTACCTGAGCCCCATCCACAGTCCCTCACACTACTGTCTACTAATCTCCAGTCATCCATCCTCTCCAAACATTACTCAGGAGATGAGAGTGCTGTGGATTAGAAGAGATTTAATTCATTGACATGGCTTCATGAAAAGTAAACAGCTAGAATGCCTAGAGGGAAGAATTGGTTCACACTCCTTAGTAAGCTGCCAACGCCTGTGCTGGGTGCCAGAAATGGATGAGGAAACGGCACCTGCGTCCCGGTGCCCCATTTCCACTGCTGCCCTACCACCTAGCAGATGACATCTCATAGTTCTGAAAGGTACAAAGTACACTTGGTTCCTCTCAAAGCTCCCTCACTCACTTGTTAAATGAGGACGAGTTAATGCATGGAGCATTAATGCCTGCAACATAGCATCGGTCATTAAATGTTAGTTATTCTCACTATTAATGGGAAGACACATAGACTCAATTTATGTAAACTCTCTGTTTACTTTGCCATGAGCAAAAAAAGGGCAAAAAAGGACTCTGCCCTTAATGTCCACTCCATTGCTAAGAACTCTCAGCCCCACCTTCCGGAAGCCCACAGTGGGTGTCTAAAACAAGGAGTCATTTTTAGTCTGTGACACAATCCTGCTTGAGGGTGGGTACCTACTCATGGTTAAGCCTGTCCATTTGGGTTAAAATGGAAGCCAGTTTAAATTTGCAGCTTGTGGCAAAAAGAAGAAACACACACAAAAAGAAAAATAATTAGCCTTAGAAATATCGTTCCCTAATGGGTGGGGATAGGGGGTCAGAAATATAGAGAAGGGATTTATGGTTTTTTAAAAAATAAATATATAATATAAATTCCATTAGGGGAAAAAAAGAATTTCAGCACTTTGAAATCAAGTGTTACATCATTTTAGACACTCTGGCTGTATTTTAAGGTGATAGCCATCACTGTAAAAATGCACTTACTGTTCCACTAACAGGCTGCTTAAAAGCTATCTGTATAATTTTGAGCAAGCTGGGTTTTGCTCACTTTGGGGCATTAACTAGACTTTACAACCTTGCCTGAGAAAGGTCCCTTAAGAGCACGGCCGACTGGAAACTATTTAGATTGAGATCTCATAAAACTTAGTTTAAATCCTGCCACTGCCACTTATGAGCTGCATAACCTTAGCTAAGTCAGTCATCTTACTGTGGGTCTTTGTCCCCACCTCCGAAATGAAGACACACGTCTTGGAGCCATGTATAATAACAGGCCTGGAGATAAGAACTGTAAAACTCCTAGTACATAAAATGTGCCAATACACAGCAGCTACAGTCACCTCAAAATGAAATTTTACCGTAATTTCACATCTGACTAGAAAATTACCAGGAAATTAAGACATGAGTAAATTGTGTGTGTGTGTGTGTGAGAGAGAGTATGTTTTTTTATCTCTTTTAGTATCATCTATAGCTATGAGAAAAATTCTTTTATCTTGGAGGAAATCCAACACATATAATTTAGAATCAAGATAAAGTGGTGAAAGAGCAGTGGGCAATAGAAAACATTCTAGGAATAACCTACTCTAAGGTGTTGGGAAACGCCCTCTCTGATTTTAGGAACTGTAGCCCTACCGACAGGAAAGAGGGCCCCAAGGCTGGAAATCATCAAGGAGGCCTTGGGAAAACAGGCTGCTGAGGAGACAAAACCTGTCCCCCTGGCAGAGGCGCAACCCCTGCCTCCCTCACATCACCCTGCTTGGCCCTGCGATGGTTGGTAGTGAATGATGGGTAAGGTTCCTCAAGAAGACGGAAAACCTAAGCCAGACGCAGCTGATATGGGCAGCAGGTCAAGGACTTGGGGGACATGGAGAAAGGGCAAAAAGGCCCACACACCTTGGCTTGGACATGGCCGGGGTCCTCATTGTATCTGAAAGCAGTCTCCTTGTCTCTTGGCAGCTCCCTCCCCCTGCCTGGCTCAGGCTCAAAACAATACTGGAGACAGTCCTCAACTGGATCTGGTGGTTCCCAGGGGAAACCAGGTCTAGAAGTAAATTCCTTAAAGCATGCTTTGTTTCTCCCTCGAAAGCTACGATAGCCAGCTCATGCTGGGAAGGAGGTTTACATTAGTCACAGACCCTGACCCTAAACACTTTGGCGCACTCATGCTTATGCTCTCTCGTTTACTAGTCTCCTCTCGGACCCGTGTAAATCGGTGTGTTCCTGCCATTTGTTTTCTTCAAAATATCATCTGTTACCTGTAAACATTAACATATTGATGTAATAAGATAACCTGCACATTTCTACTACCTGGCCCCACTGATAACCCTTTCAATAAAAACCTTTGGACACAGGGGCTCAGGGCCTTCTCCACTAGAGGGAAGAGCCATGCCCCCTCCTCTGGCAAACAGAGAAGTGTTTGTGATAACTCGTGTGTATTCCCCCTCATCCGTGACAACCCTGGGCCGGGCTCTGCGGGACTCAGAGCCCTGCACCCTCTTCAGCTGGCTCCGGACAGTGACCCTCAGATCCAGGAGCCCCGCGCTCCCCTCAACATGGTGCTCCCTGCGACACTAAGGGTTTTTAAATATGCTGCCGCCAAGGCCAGACCCCCTGAGCATGTCTCAGGGTGAGCTTTCTTGGAAAGGAATGCATCCAAATGCTCAGATCCAACATGGAATCAAAATAGAAGATCTGACATTTTGCATGAAGTTCAAGAAAAGAAACAACAGCCTCAGTCCTGCCTGGAGGCCCCAGACAATCTGGCAATGGTGGGTTGTCAGGAATGTAAGACAGCCCATATGCGCCAGTTGAGAGGATCAGGCCATCAAATGTGATGTTACCCACCTGACATGCCACCAACCAAGCAACCTTCTCCTAGAATTTTTGTTCTCAGAGTATCCTTTCCACTGAGAAGAGGTGTGGATTTACTCTTGAGCTCTTTTATAACTGCTCACAAGTGGCAGAGCCAGGAAAAGTAACAGAGGAAATGTTGGTTCCATTGCACCATTATCCGGAGTACCAGTATGCCAACTACCAGGTAGTTGAACAAAATTTTGAACAAGGATTCAAAAGATTGACCCATATATTCTTTTCAACAGACATAGCACCTAAATTGTAAAATAACCTTGAAACTCTAAACTTGAAGCATGGAGGTTTAAGACCAGTTAGTTCCCCTTCCTGTGCTAACTAACACTTTATTCTCTTTCGAGGGTCAGAATGCCTTTCATTTAAGATGTTTCCTCATTAGTGCTAGCATCTCCAGACACACGTGTTTTTTTAGCCTTTGACAGGGAAGCCACTCTCAGCCCCACAATGACCCCACCTGGCTCACCTTCTGGTGTTTATTTAAGTGAGGTGGGTAATGTCATCTATTCCACTCTGTCATTCCCCTACTCCTGGCCTCTGCTATATCACGTTTTCTTTCTCTGGAATGTTTACACCCTGAGTCACTTTACTAGGATACCAAGTCATACAGCCTACTTCCCTGTGATGCAAAGGCACCGGCCTGTGAGGGGAGGGGGGTGGGGGGGCTGGCGATGGTGTGATTGATGCTGCTATAGACACCTTCAAGAGGGCCGGGAGGGTCTCGCCGGAGACCTACGCTTGAGGGACCAGTTACCTAGGGCCGAGGGCACAGGGCCAGCGACAGGCTGGGCATCACGTAGGCGCGCGCCATAGGCGCCAATCTGCCGCACCCGCGCCAACCCCGCCCCGCCCTGCTCAAGGGCAAATAGAAGGTCGCGAGAGGGTGGGCACAGGCGAGGGCGCCAGGCCCAATTAGCATCCCTCCACCCCTTTAGGCCTCGAAACAGGTGAAAATGAGGCCTCAGGGTCTTTGAACTAATCTCGGGGGGCGGAAGTGGGGAGAAAACAAAAAAAAAACAAACGCCAGCCCCGGGATGCATCTCGAGCTTGCGCGATTCTTAAGGCTTCAAGGACGGATCCGCCTGGGAAACGCCAATCCACTTTCTAGCGGTTGGTTCGCACCACCCAGGGATTTGCCTGGATCGGGAAAACCCACCGCTTGGGAATCCCTGCGCCCCCACGTGCACCCAGCGCGACGTTCTGGGCGTGGCCGTGTCACCCTTTCCCCCATTAAATTGAAATATTTTCTTGATGCGTCCACGGGACCCGGTCTCGAGTCCCTATCTCCCCAAAATCTGCCTCCACATTGGGTGTGGGGAGCCTGGAGCCTGCGCCCCGTGCGGTGCTGGTGACGTTCCGGAGTCCCCGCTTCCTGATCCTTCCCACTCAGGGAGGCTGGCGGGAAGGCCCAGTGACCCATTTTAGTTTTAGGTTTGGTCACGAGCCGGAACGAGACAGGAGATTAGAGTGGCGGAAAACCTTTTTAAAAATCTCACAGCGGAAACGTAAAGCGTGCCACACGTCTGGCAGCCCTGGGCGGGTAGCCTCGCGCCCCACGTCGCGTCCCGCAAGCAGCAGCGGGGAACCCCGAGCGCACCGTGCACAGGACACGAGTCCTCAGGACGCGCTGTGGGGACCTGGTCGTTTCTCCACAACACAGGGCGGGAGCCGAGGCATCGGAGGTGGCCGCGGGGGTCCTCCCGCCCCATCCTACGACTCGGATGAGAAATGACTACGAAGGCGGTGCAGACGGCCTCGTCGCCAGTCTCAATTTAAAAAATGAACGTGAAGGTGGAAAATTAATTGATCTTCCTGACGAAGGATTTTGCTACCGTACCCCTTCCTTCCGCGTCCCCCGCAGTGACTCCGGAGGTTGCACCGCCCGCTCGGTCCCCGGAAGGTATCCCCGCGGTTCCCAGGCGCCCATCTGTTCCCCGACCCCTGGCTTCTCCCCGTACCCCCATCGCTTGCCCTGAGTCCCCACATTTTCCCACTGGTTCCTCCATCCCTTCTTTCCTGTTTCCCCCTCCGCCCCGGCCCGAGGAGGCGGTCGCGCACCTTGGGCATCCCCGCCGCTGGTCAGCACGCCGATGGCTTTGCCAACCCCGGAGAGTTCCTCCAGGAACTTTCGGAAGAAGCCCCTGGGGGTCGAGGGAACACCGTCGTGGTCCATATTGAGCAGGCCGGAGAGGCCGGAGATCGCGGGCCGGGCGTTAGGCAGTCAGCGATCCCCGCCTGAGCAACGCTAGGAACTGCTAGGTCCGCCCTCCCCGCGCGCACCAATCAGAAGCCGGGGGCGGGCACGCGGGGTGGGGCCTTTGGTCGAGGCGCGGCGAGCCAGACGGAGGGCTCTGCGGAAGACGAGGAAGGGAGCTTCTTAGTGGGGGCGGGGAAGGGCGCACCGCTGGTGACCGGGAACCAGAACGTCGCAAGCGGGAAAAGAACCAGGTGGTAGGAGGTTGCTTTACAGGGAGCAGAGATCGCTAGCGGACGGGAGAATCATAGGTGGGAGGGATGATCACAGTTATAAGAACCTTCAAGTGGGTAGAATCTTCACTTTGCGGGAGCGCAGGAGGTACGCGGGGCATCACAAGGGGGCAGCACCGCGGGTTGGGGGTAAACACCGTGGGTTGGCAAAGCATTATAGGTGGCAGAGAGCACCACGGGAAAGGGGGCAGTGGACCACTGCTGGTGGGCTGGACGGACCACCACATTTCAAGGGCTCCCCACTGGTGGGTGGGAGCATTGGATGGAGGACGCCGCCACAGGAGGGGGGCGCCCGGCCGCGGCGGTTGGGGAACAGAACCTCAGCCGAGGCGCGCGCCCCACTTCCCACAGGATTCCTCCCTAGGTGTCGCTCGGTGCCGCGGGAACCCCAGCCGTTATTTCGACTGCCCCGTTTCCCCTCCGGCCTTAAGTCGGGAGGATGGACTCAGAAAGGATGATGCTCTAGTTGATGGGTCAACTTGGGTATCGCTGCCAACGATGCTGAAGCCCTGACCCCTGTCTCTACAGAGACCCTGGAGTGCCCTCCCCCTTACCGCATGCGCTGGGGCGGGGCGAGAAGGAATGTGACTGTAGAGGGAACCTTAGGGACCCCCTAGCGCCCAGCCTGGGAGCTTAGCGTGGGATGGAGCGGGAGGAGGGCAGGAAAGGCTGGCGGTGGAGATAAGACCCAAGTTCCTACCTAAGGAAACCGAGTTCCTGCGCTGTCAGGTGGTCTCAGCCCTGCTGGGAGCTCCAGACCTAACACACTCCCAAGGGGGAGAGGGGACTGATGAGCAAGCTTACTCTTTGCGGAGCTTAACCTTTGCCAATTACCTGCCACGGACAGGCAGACAGACCCCTCAGGGACGTGGTCTCAGGAGGCACTGTGGTGGGGTGCAGTGACCTCAGGAGTTTCATACAGGACACCATCCATCCGAAATTCATGGTGGGGATGGCACAGCGCCTGAGCCTGCCAGATGCGCAGTAAATGTTTGTCAAGTGGATACGAGAAGGTTAGGAGACTAAGAAAGGCTCCTTCTGCCCACCCAGAGAAGCTCGTGAGAGCAACACAGTCAAGATGTTTGCTGTAGGGCAGCCCAGACCAAAAAGCGAGTGGGATGCACAGACTTAGGTTGGGAGATTTCAGTAAACACTCTCATCTTTCCTCTCATCTCTTTGAGAATCAAAATTTTATTGTAAAAGGTGTGTTGGGGGCGGGGGGGTGTCTGCTGTGGACAAGTCTGGTGGTCTGATCTCTGCCCTCTGCTAGGATTAATGGAGAAATTCTTGAACCCCCACAATTATGAGAATCACCTGGCCTATTTTTTCTGGCTCCATTAGAAGCACTGAAGTCCAGTTTCCTGGAATGCTGCCAGGAAGTATGTATTTTTAACGAGCTCCCAGCTGTTCTGATGATTGCAGGGTCTGAGAACAACTGGCTGATGGATTGAGCCCAGCAGGGCCAGCGATGCTGGAAAGGACACTGGGTGTTTTGATGATGGCATGCAGGTGGCCTTGACTCTCCAAGAACAGGAGAGGAGCCAGGCTCTAAGCACCTCCACTCAGAGGTCTTCGGTGCCCCCAGCCCAGAATTTGTGCTCTAGAATAACCCACCCCTTTCTAGAGCATCCTACACTTGGAAAAGTTGGTGCACACAGAGTTAAATCTTCTTAAAAATTGATGTTTTTATACTTTAGAGGCCCAGTCATTTGTCATTGAATTGTCTATAATATAAAAAATGATAGATGCAAGCTAAGAGTTTAAACACAACAGTAGATTATGTAAATTTTGGTAAAAATATAATTTTCAATTGCTGTTTTGATTATGAAGGTAAATATCTATTGACATGTAAATATGTTTGGGAAAAACTAATAAGAGACAGGGTTAGAAATAATGCAGGCCTGTGTGTGCGCATGTGCGTACATGTATGTGTAAATGAATCTAGACATTTTTATTTCCTTTCTTTTGCTTATTGTGGACATTGTTTTTTCCTCCATTGAACTAGTATTGTTTTTGGAATAAAAATATTACAGTTAGATGAAAATAATAAAGTTTAGGGTTGCCAGACCCTTAAGTTTATGACTGTTTTGGAAAAGCTTAAAAAAATCCAAAAACCTGATTACGCAGAGTTGTGGCTCAGAGAGGAAAGGCATCATTCTGCCCCAGCTAAACCATGAGCTCTGATCCGTGGCTCAGTTTCTCAGAGAATAATCTACAGATCTCAGCTAACCTGGAAAGTCAGAGCCATCTCTCCTTCCTTCTTCTTTTGCAATACATGTATTTTAATAGGTATTATGCTTTAATTTTGGCCTTAGAAGAGAACTCTCTGATACCTGAGGTCAGAATTGCATGTCCTACTGACTGTACAGCTCACCTCCAGTAAGGCATATGTGCTTTAATTCTCTGTTGCTGCCTCATAAATTCCTCCAAACTGTGTGGCTTATGCCAACCTACATGTATCGCAGAGTTCAGGTGGGCTTCACCAGACCCTCTGCTCCAGGTTTCACATGTTTTGGCCCTGGGTCTGAAACTCACCACAGGAAGGGAAAGTGAGCGCACTCCCGTGCAGTGGGCAGGATGCATCCCCTGAGGGCTGCTAGACAGAGAGCCTCTGTCCTTCACACGCTGTGCTCTACCTCTCACCTGGGCGTTCTCCCTGGGTTCCAAGCAGGAGCTAACTTTAAGCTAATCTGCAACCCCAGCTACATTTCCATCTCCCTTTTCCTCATGTCTCCCCTGTCTTCTCCTTCTACCCTAGATTTTGGAAAATCCAAGAATGAATGAAAAACCATTTGCTAGACTAGGATAGCTGCCTTCAACCCATGCCTCCTGTGCAGTGAGCAGAAGCAGGCACCAGTGCCCAGCGGGCAGTACCTAGGGCCTTGCACACATTATTTATCAATAAAGTGAACACCCACTTGCTTTTCCTTTCTTTTCCATGCATACCTGTTCTTGATTATTTTTGATTTGGCAAACTGTCAATAGTAAAAAATGAAATCTTTTGTTAGCATCCCCCTTCCCTATTAATGGCATGCCTGGTGGGTAAGGGAAAGAGCCTAGGATTTTGATGTCAAAACCCGAGTTTGAACCCAGTTCTGCTGGTCAGAGATGGAAGCTCTGGCCAATACTTTAACTAGAATATCTCTTGGAATGTCTCCTGCGTTCTAGTGTCAGTGCTGTGGTCCCCGCTTTCTTTACTCTGTGATGATGAAACAGCGGTAACTTATCTGTTTATTCTGCTTCCACCATCTGGTCTCACATCTGATATTAAAAATACTTGAGTTTAGACCTGGCAAGAGGTCATGTTACAGACCAAGGCAGTATTACTTTTAGCAAAGAAGCTAAATTATTCTGGAAACAATGTAATTGGTCACTGGAAACATTAATGTAATTCATCTAGCTATGGGAATTATGGGAGATTCATTTAAATGGCAATATTTAACAGCGTCAGCAACTTTAATGACTTCAGCCCTCACAGACATGGGGAGGAGGGGTGGTTCTGTGGGTACTGAGTCTGAATTCTCCCATGAAGAGATTCTGATGAATTCCAGCTTCACTCTCCCACCCGTGGGCCACACACCCAGTCCCAAAGGCCTGGGAGCAAGAAGCCTATTCTGTGTTATTGCCTTGCTTGACCTCTGCCTCCTCAGCTAAAACACACTGCTTTCCAAGATTCTTGACAGTGGAACTGATATGGAAACATTTGTTCCCCCGGCCGCCTGGTTCTGGCTCAGGAAGCACCCCTCTCCTCTCAGGCTGCTTGGCTACTGGTCTGCCTCTACCCTAGTATTTTGACCTCAGTGGAGGGTTCAGAAACTTTCTTTTTAAATTTACTCTCAGATTTGTTTTTAAAGTCAAACAACCCCCAAAATTAAAGGACACATCTAAAGTAAGGCGAATAAAATGCAAGTGGGAAGTTTAGATGAGGAGATGTTATAGGCACATACACTAATAGCATGGCTTCTACACTCAGGTCAGGTTCTGCTCTCAGCTTCTTAGCACCCAAAACAAAAAGAAAACAAAATTTAAGAAAAAAAATTAAAAAAAAAAAAAAAAGAAATGCTAAGATTCTCTGTAAGGTCCCGCTTTTTGGTGAATGGGTTTTATGGAATTTTTTCCCCCCTAGTGATTTGGAATCATAGAAATAGCACAACAGGATCTCTTGGGAGTGCAGGCTTTTCCTGGTGGGCAGAATAATAGGGAACTGTTGTGCAGATAAGAGGTTGTTTTAGTGTGTGTGGAGAGAGTACAAAGGATGTTGGGTTATCTCAAGGGAGTTTTCCAACACAGTGTTAAATGGTGAGAGAGGAATGATTCATCTTTTTGCCCGGAGATCCTGGCCAACTTTCCAGAGCTTCCCCTTGAACGTTTTGGGGACAGTCTGCTACAGGTAAGGCACCAGCTCTTTTTCTAGAATGTGACCATCTCTGGCTGTTCTGGTTCTGTTCTTTACATCCATTAAAAAAAAGAGAGAGAGAGAGAGAGACTCTTGTGATTTGAGCTTGTTTTCCCGTCTTGTTATCTGTGTCCTGGTGAAACAGCTTCAATTTTAATAGCAAACGGGTCCTCATTTCTTTCTGTGAAACACGCTTCTGGAATCTTCCCTAGAGATGGCTAATTTTAGATAGTGTTTATGAATTCCTGAACTTTGTTCAGGTTCCTTCTCTTCCCTGCCTGTTCTTGTCCTCCTTGTCATTACAAAGTATGTGGGCAGACACATGCGCACACACTGTAGGCAGGACATGAAACAAGCT